TAATCTGGATCTTAGTCTCTGACTCGTCATGTGCATTGATCACAGGGCGTAGGAAAACACTTAAGAAGTTTGACCTGTCCGAGCATTACCGGCAGCGCAAGCCTAAGTATGTGACTGAGTTCATCCATGAGATGCTTTGGGGCAAAACTCTGCAGAAGCTGGTCAAGCGTGGGATTGAATTGGCCGCGGACGCCCGCGAGCGCTATCCTGATGCACGCATCAACCTGCATTTGTCCTGGTTCGGAAATGAATTGGTAGGAGAGGATGGGATTGCCCAAAATCCAAATTGGCCGTACGACGGCCCCAACGGGCACTGGCCCACGATCTTGGATGATTGTGAGCGCCACTTGACATGGTTTGTCAACAAGGCCCGGGAGTTGGATTTGCAGTCGGCCGGTCTCACGACCGCGCCTTGGAGCGCAGATTACGGCATCCATCATATCTTTGACCAGTTCTTTGATGTTCTTGAGCCTCGATTTAAAGCTCTAACCAGCAGCCTGCAAGGGCGTGCCAATGCGAAGTATCCGTGGCTGAGAGCAAAGGGGTACGCCGATGCAATGGAATTCAGAGACCAGTGGCATTTCGCCAACTCTGAAGAAAATCGCACGCGTCTTGCTGCCTATTGGACAGCTACCCTTTTCGCAATTGATTGCGGCTGGCGGGTTGGTCGGATTGGTTTGCAGCTTACTGAGTGTGGCCAGGAAACATGGGATGATTTGCGGAGGAACATGAGCGCCGTCCTGGACGAGCTGCCAAGATCCTATCAGGAGACATGTGCAAACATCACCAAGTTGCTTTTTGGAGAGTCCCGAAGACACATCACGCCGACGGGCAGGTCATTCACCAAGGAGGACGTCGAAGCTCAACAACCTGACACTGAGGACTACATCGACACCAAGACGATGCCTTCGGGCACGTTTGCTGAGCCTCCCAAAGATGACCCTCCAAAGGCCGCCGGCGACGGCGAGCCCGCTGCATCCAGCAGAGCAACAATCCTGGTCCAAACGGCTGAGGTCATGTTGAAGTCGGGGCCGAAAGCAGCACCAGCACCATTGGATGAGCCCGCAGATGACAAGAGAGCCACATCCAGCCAGTACCAGCCGCAGGCAACTGCGCGCTTAGAGGGACATGCATCCGGCCACGTGAAAGCATATTGGATGGAAGAGCATTTGCCTGAATACCAATATACAATGGTGACCAATGCAGACGGGGACGATGTGCCCGGTATCCTCTTTGAAGGTACGGCGTATGAGCTGGAGCTGATATCGGCATCCGACGTTGAGACCATTGCTGGCCAGACCCGTGTCGACAAGAAATTTTCTGATTTTGCAACTCGTGTCAACAAAGTTTGCAGGGGGCATGGATCCTGTGCCAAGGTGCCAATGGACAAAGACCTTTGGATTGACTTGGAGGATTTTGCCAAAGCCTTCCGCAAGGAAGTGCCCCCAGATGTTTTCATCACTGTCGCAAACCTGTTTGGCACCGCAATGAATATCGACAAGCATGGCAAGAGTAGGTTCCAATTCTTGTGTGCAAAGATCTCCCATTTTCCTGTCGACAATGGCCTAGGCATGCCGTATTATCCTGTGAAAATCCGTGCAATTCAGGGTCACTCTGAAGCTGCCTTGAAAACCGCAGGGGGTCTTTATGCCAATTCAACCATGGTGTATTGCTCAAACCAAGTATCCCCCGAGCGAAAAGCCGCCTTCACTGGCGTGCCCTTGTGTGCCATGACTGAGGTCCCTGAGGTTGTCTTCCATCGCACGATGAGAAGCAGCTGGAAGAGCATCGCACAGAACGGCCTGATCCCGGGCGGCGGTGACACAGTCAACAGTGGCCGTGCTCATATCTACATGGCAGAACACTGTATCGGCACACAGGGGTATCGATCTGGATTAAGAGCAAAATGTCCAGTCGAAGTCAAAATCGCGATGCGGCAAGCAGTTGAAGCTGGTGTCATCTTTAGTCGTACAGAAATGGATGGTATTTTGTGTTCAGAACGCATTCCACCGCAATTTCTGGTCAGCATCTCAGAAGAAGGACAGGTGCTTTGGTCCCGCGCCGAGAGCAATCTCGAGCCCAGCTCATGGACAGGCGCGGAATCAGCCTCAGCACCGAAATCCAAAGCGGTCACCCTGACTGCCCGAGATGATGCAAATGACGACCCAATGGATGACACCAGCACGGGGCGACCCGATGCCAAGTCCACTGATGATGATGCAGCCACTGCCCCAATGCAAGTTGACCAGCCGCCCGCAAGGACGCGCCGTGTTTACATTGCACCCAAGTACTGCGAACCTTTCATGGGCTCCTGCCCCCTCTGCCAGGTTGAGTACGTCAGTGGCCAAGTGACATGCACCACATGTGGATATGAACCACTCCCAGTGGACGAAAGTGGCGATACAAAAGAGGCCGACAAACCCAACAGGAGGACACGCATCCTTGAACGGCGAATGCAAAGTCTCGCCGGGTTCGGAATGTTTGGGAAAATGAGCGGAAGCTTGCTGACAGCCTTGACGGATGAGCAAGCCAATCTGCTTCGCCGGGAACTGGGCCCCAGGGGAATCACATCCGTGGAATCAGCAGTCCTCAAAGACTGCCGCGACAGGCATCGACGTGCAAAAGCGCTGGGCTACGAGGACGTGGAAGACAGATACTCCAGCGACGTCACTTTTTGCGACCGCATCCACGGTGAGGGGAAGGACCTGCAGGACTGCATATTCGACGACATGTTCGCATATGGCAACCTCCCCGATCCCCCAAGGACCAAAGCTCAGATCTCGGCTGGCGTCGCCGCCAATGCCCAAAATGAAAACTGCTTATCTAAGTTGATTTTCATGTCCCAGCCTCGAGGTGTTGATGGTTTCCCAGTTGAGTTCCGCAAAACATGGAAGAAGGTCTGGGGATTCATGTTCGGCCGCCACATTTTTACAGAGGATGAATATGTCAGCTACATCGGTCGTCGTGGCGCATTCCGTGGCCTTTTGACCTGGAAGGGCACTGTCCAAGTTCCTTTTGATGGCACTCTTGAATTCCTCGAAAAGGTGTATGAGGAAAATCTTCCATTGGTTCGGGGAAACCTTGAACGCAAAGAGAAGCAGAGCGCCGCTGCAAAGGCTGGAGGTCCTGGAGGTCATAAGGCCGACCCCACGGTCGCGCCCACCACTGAGCGAAAACGCAAAGCCGAAGCTGATGCATCCGTCACCACACATGATGACACTGCCGCCTCAAGCTCTGCTCGCGCAGATGCCTCGCACGCTGATGCCCCAGTTGACCCCAACAATGCACCATTTCTTGCACCCGAACCACCAACATCCAAAGCAGGAGCGCGACCATTCTTGGAGCCTGAGACACCGCCCACTGCAAAAGCAGCAAGCACAGGAGTCACATCAAAGGCTGCAAGCTCCGGTCGCCCGGATGCCTCCTGGAGTTGGAATCGTGATCACTATGGTGCACGCCGAGAATGGAGTTTCTGGCGTGGGGCTTGGTATTACCGTGACGAGGCCGGCGGCCGGTGGATCTATTGGAACCGCAGGTAGACGATGATTTTCTTTTGTAGCATAGCGCAAGATGCGGCATGGTAATGTGCCTTCCTTGCAAAGCTGCGCTGGGTTTTACGGGCTTGAGCTTTTTATAGGGACCTTTGAAAGACTGCATAAAATGTCCAAAACCAAATAAACAGATTTGGCTACCCGCGAGGGTATGCTCTTCTGGGTTATTCGTTCTCCGCAGTCGTCCCTGCTCGCCCGAGGGGGGTGTAAAAACTCCTGCAGTAAAACCATGTAGTGTATATATCATCGATCTACTCTGTAGCGTTGGTTCAAAACAGTGCCAGCAGCTTAGCGGTTACTTGCCCCCATTACTGTTGTAACATATTGGTGGCTGACCTTGTAAAATACACATGGGGACCGTTTCCGACCATTTCCGACCGTTTCCGACCGTTTCCATTTTTCCGAACAATTAAAAAAAATACCAATTCCATTTACGGAGGGCTGATCCAGGGCAAACCCATACAAACCATGACGCTGATTCTTTTTCGCGCGACCTTTCTGCGCGTACACTGCACCAAATATTGCACTTTGACCTTGACATCCCAAAGTCCAGGAGCTGGTGAAATTTGGTAGAGATAATATAGTATCATGCACAACGAAGCCAGAAACCATACCAAAAGACTCGATGTTATATCATGTTTGGTTGCTACTACTTTTTTCCGCCTGAAATCATGGATATAGATGATCCATGGGCTGCCTAAATGGTCACGAACGACTGTGTTTGTAATGTGTGTGTGGTCCATTTGGGAAGTAGTTATCTCAATCAACAAGAAGATGGGGTATTACAAACAAAACCATCGGGATACAACCAGCCTCTGGAACGATTCCTGAAGTAGGCTAAATGATTGATAAATGTTGCGTATGCTGTAAAATATCTCAGTTATAAGGGCTTTTTCAGGGGTGAAACCGCTCTGCTGAGGGATCCAGGTAAAACCAGCACATGGGAATCACCTGCACCAAAAATGATTTGTTTGGCCAAGAATCCACTGGTTATAGATGTGACTTACCAATAGCTGGCACATGACTAGTGAACCAAATAGTGACGTTGCCAACCATCGTTGTACATGCCCGCAAGGCTGGTTGTTGGACGGGCAACTCCAACTTGTCAGAGTGAGGAACCTGGGGATTAGAATCCCTCTTTTCAATCCGCAAGGTCTGACATCTCATCAACATATCTCAGCAACACTTGCTGGTTTGTGAGGTTGATGGTTTTTGAAGGTGTGCCTGATTGTCAGAAACAAACGCTTTGGGGAGCAGAACTCGGGGAACACCCAACCCACCCCAACCATCATAGTTGAACAAGCCACTTAGATCGGCCATTGGTAAAATGTGGCTAGTTCTTGTTGGTAGTTCTTGGGGTTTTCATGAGTTTTCATCTTGTTTGGGGTATCATTGTATCATCATGGCTTTTCATTTCCAGATGGGTTGTTTTTTTCGCTGCGTCGCCAGGTGTTGCCTGCAGGGTCGCTGGCTGCCTGGCCCTCGCCGAAGATTTGGCGGCAGCAGTGGACAGAGATCGCCCTGGAGGATGGGGCCCAATTTGAACCACCGGTGGTTTCGGTGGGAAAGATCGTTACCCAACCAATGGATCCAATGGGCAACATGCCACAGAAATCCACAGAATAAGGATGAATAAGGGTTTTTTTTGCCCAGATGAAATCTTTTGGAGGTTTGAAAATCAAGGAGATTGGACTTTCGTATCTTGATTCTGATATTCTGATTTGGGTGTTTTGAAGAAGTTTGTTTGGAGACAATCCTTCCCTTAGCAATCAGCTTCGCACTCCCAGTGTAAGATGGCTGCTGTGCTTTGATTTTGAAAGCAGCCCTTTCCAAAGAGATGTTAAAGATTGTTGGACTGGGATTGGTAGAGGTCCCATCTTTTTTCGGAGGTTTTCGGATGTTTTCGGGTTCTCCCATCAGCTGGGTTGGAGCAGGGTTTCGCCCTCACCATCCACGGATGGTCTCCTGATGGTGCCTTGGAAAGTTGATTCGGGCAGAATTTGGCTGGTGAGGCTGGAGTCGGCTGGAGGGACTGATAAGTCTCTGATAACTTTGGAGATGTTGTTCACTTTAGGGTATTTAAGTTGGGTCTTGAATCATTTGATGGGTACAGTCTTCAGCACTGGCTGAGCAGATGGTTGCAGATGTCCTAAGCGATATGATTGTTATGCTTTAACAGGGCAATACAGGGCATGGCGCACTTTCTCGGTTTTTATATGTTTTTATGATATCTTGTCCCCATTTTGTTTTCTGGTTATATCTCGATTTTGACTGGCTATAGGTTATATCCCAAAAAATGTGTTTCGGTTATATCAGGGATTAACATCACTTTCAGTGCATGGTAAACCTGTGATTGAACCCCTGAAAGCGTGATACTTGTGGCAGAAGTATACCTACTTCGTCATTGTTTGAAGGGCTTACAACACATTATAATGTGTGTATATCTATATTATATATATATGGTCCCGTGTCCCGTGTTCCCACCCCCCCCCCATGGGATGGGGGGGTATGATGCCCCTGTGGTGGTGTATATACATACATACATACCTACATACCTACCTACCTACTACATACCTACGTACATATACCATACATACATGTACCTTACATTACTTACCTTACACCAGACAGACACACATGGACATGTACATATAGACACAGGTACTACATACATACTACATACCTACATACATACATACCTACATACCTACATACCTACATACTACATACCGTACCATACTACATACCTACATACCACATCCCAACATACCAACATACAACAACAACATACCACATACCAACATACCAACATACCAACATACATACAACATACCAAATACCAATACCACCACCACAGGCCACAGGGGGGGGGGGACCAGAAGAACCATACCACCACCACAGGCCACAGGGGGGGGGGCCAGAAGAACCAGACGATACTGTCCACCCATACCCATTGGTGGGGGGGGGAGGGGGGGTGGCCAACGCTGCACCATATATATATATATACACAAAGGCACAGCATGTTACACTTCAATTTTAACAGGATCTCTCCAGCCCCAGGTCGTTGTTTGTTAGTCGTTGCCCACGCCTTGAGCGCGGCAGTGGGACACGTGAAACGCTGCCGTGTGCAGCTCTGGTCGACGGAGGGGGCCGACGCCCCGGTGGTGCCGGTGATGGAGATCAGCACGTTGCTCGGCGGTGAAGACTTGGTGAAAACTACGATTGGTGAAAAATCAAGAAATTCATCCAGATTTCCCAGGTCTATGGCCATGAAATGTCAATTTTCGTGTAAAAGCAAAGGTGAAATGGTTGGTTGATTCGGGGGGAACAATCAAAAACGAGAGTTTCAACACCAAGAATTGGGATTAAGCATCAGAATCGAATGAATATTCTTTTGACTGGTGTTGAAAAGAGGCGGAACAGTTAGTCTCACTATTTTGAAGATTTATCTTTTTGGGGTGATGGTGATATACTCTCATAGATGGATTCTGTTTGGTGGAACAAGTTTGGAACCGTTTTTTTGATGATGTTGATGTATGTGTGTATCTTTTGGAGATCACCATGCCAAACCACCAGGATAGTTACTAAGCATTTGAAACATGTATGGTCAAGAAGCATTTTGTAAATTGTGCCTATTTCGGGTGGCATCCCCAGTTTTGTAGGTGCATATCAGTGAATTGGACCAATGGGTTGGTCTGAAAATGGGGCACCCCAACTCCGCAGCTCCGCATGATCATTGTCAAATCAACCCTCAGGTTTTCCGTGAAATAGATTGTTAAACTAATAGATTGTTAAATTAGTGGATAAATCAGATAAGCAATGATAAACCCATGTCTTGGTCCAAAATTTTGCAGGTTGGAGGACTGTCCTCTGCACCGCCTGCGTGTCATGGAGGGTGGCCTACTAGGTGCTGCGGTGGATGGCACCGCACGGTTGATCTCGTTGGAGGAATCTGCTGCTTGGCTGCTACCCATGTTCCCGGTTGGAAATGGGGTATCCCAAAATTTGATGGTGAATCACAACTTGTCCGAATTCAAAAAACCATTTGGGAGGTGTACCCCATTTTCAGACATACCCTTTGGGATCTAAACATTTGGACTTGAGGACTGTACCAAGCCCAGTCGTGATGAGAATCATCCCAAGTTTCCTTCGCCGTCTCCCCATTTGGGATGACTTGTTGGATTTTAAAGATCCATCAAATTCTTGGTTGGACCCTCATATTCGTTGGATAATATTGGATATATATATATATATAGTATATATAGTATATATAGTATATATATTATATATATACATATTATATATATATACATATACACCTGTATTTACCCGTGCTGGAGAGGCTCCGCAGCACATCATCTTGGGCGACGCCTGGAATGCGGCAGCACCCACTGGAGCCTCGTGGAGGAACTGGCCCCGAGGACCTCTGGGGCTTAGACCAACTGGTTGGGATTTCTCAATTCCTTGGGAAAAACGGATGGATCCACTTGTAGAGATGGTGTGATGTGATTTAAGAATATTTAAGAGATATTGTGATATCCACCCAAAGCCTGAAGGAACGAAGAATGGTCAGTGTGATGTGGGTCTATGAGGCCGCCATTTTTAGTGTTGGAGTCATGTGAGTCTTTGTAGTCAGCTGGGCCATCCACCCCTTCCAGATGCAGGGTCAGGTCTGACCGGCAACCACCTCCACACTCGGTGCAACCAATGGTGATTGATATGTGGAGATCTAGTCCAACCCATCGGATATCTAGAAAACGCCAAGAGAATTGGTTCATTGACCTTTCGCACTCATAGACTGCAGGGATTGGATGGTCAGGGTTTCAACATGGTTCAAAGGTTATTCATACTCATCCCTGCTCATCCACACTGGGATAATGATCAAAATGCTCAGAATATCTCAGATTTTTTTTTGGATCCGTGAGAGGAGCCATCGATGCTTGTATCTTGCCGTGCCACCGCATTGCTGTGACGCTGCGGCACCGGCAGATGGCGGGAGACTGCGAGGCGTCGGAATGGCGGCGAAGTCAGAGAATGCCGTTCAAAGATGTTCAAAAAACCATTGGAATTGTAGCAAAATCATGCAAAATCAACGAGATACAGGACAGCAATGGACAGCAGCACCACAGTCCTGATTCCAGCGACACCAACCACAGGAGGGCGACGCAGTGGTGGAGCCTTGGCAGATCATAACCGGCGTCGTGAAATTTTGGACCCAACTGTGGCCGTTCAGTTCACTTCCGTTTACTTAGTATACTTGAAACAAGCTGCAAAGCTACCAGTGTCTGTCGTCGCATGGGAATAGAGAGACTTTCAACTCGGGCAATGTACCGAATCTAGCCACAAGTCGCATTGAACTGAAACTTGTGTTGGTGGCCGCGCTTCATCCCATGGAGAAATATGTTGTTTTTCTATGTTTTTCTTGTGATCTCAACATGTGGAAACCACAACCAATGGTGTCCCCCCAAGTTGAAACATGTTGAACCGCCCCACCTTTGATTTCACCTCAAATCACCCCCTTTGTGAAGCATCGAGGTCTTCGGGCGGCACTTCGAAGCCAGCAACTACCGGCGGCTGCTGATGGGTCGCAACATGGAAGCCGATCTGCCGCGCGATGAAGATGCAGCACTGAAGAGCCACCTGGATGGAGGTCGGGGAGGGTTTGGAAAAAGGGGTATCTAGGCTGCCTGATGGATCCTTATGAGGATATTATGACATATAATGATATATAATATGATAAGTTATATTGGTCTAACCAACACACAAACATGCGAAGGTGTAGGGTGCCAATCCGCAATGGTGATACGAAATCCAAAAAGTAGTAACATCCACAAGGTGTTCGTTTTTTTTCCAGTTTGGGATCCAGTTTGGGAACCAAATCGAGTGAATGTTCCATCGGTGAATGGCAGGTCCCCTGGGTGGACTGACCTTCGTAGTTCATAAGGATCCCCCCAATGGATTTGCAGGAAAGTCCATGGAAAGTCCAAGCCAGGTGCCATCCTGAAGTAGACATTTTGCATCACATGATCACATCAAACCCGATTGTACCAGCAAAGTCCGGTTCCTGTTCTATCCAGACTCATTGAGAGATTTGGCTATGGCTTTCATTTTTTGAACCACACACTCCCATTTTGCCGAATTCAAAGTGTTTGAGCTCCCCCATTTTCCAATATGGGATATGGATCGCAATCCGCATTCACTAAATAAGATGTTTGGCGTGTTGTGTATCATCCCGGTCATGGCACATTTAACTTTCATGTTTGACACCTGAAGCCCCCCCTTTATTCTGGGTCGATGATCCCAAATGACCATATTACATATATATATATATATTATGTATGTATTACATATGTTTGAGAGATTTTTGATCACCCAACTTCCAGGCTCGCCGTGTTAAGGCTTAAGTTGCTTCCTTTCGCATTTGGAGCTGGATGCCACTAGCCTGGACTTGGCGCGGCAGCAGGCTGCCAGGTGCCTGGTGGGCTTACCCTCAGGGATCCAACCTGGCGGAAATTGGGGAACAGCGTTTTTTTGTTTTTGGGGGGTGAATTGTTTCAGCTAGATACTTGATGATTGCTTTTTGAAATGTACGGTCTATATCTCCGAAACGAGAGACGTCTTCAAGTCCAAATACAATCTACATCATCTACACTTGTTGGAATGTCAACCCCGTTCACTCGCATCTTTCATGCGGATGGAAGCTACCAAAGTGTGTTGGGAAGAGATGGCTTTCCACTAACAGGTACTTGGACCGCGTCCAGAGCATGCTGGGAGAATTGTCACCAGCCTTCAAAAGCCAAGTGGAGGCAAGGGGATGGCGGCCATGGCTGACGAGCAACTGGACATGTCGTGAAGAAAAGGAAAGTGGCTGAAGTGGCTTGCAATTTCACATATTTCACGACAGGTCACGACAGGTTGGTTTAGGGGAAATCTGCAGCCATGGTTGCATCATCCGTGGGGATTTCCCGTGCCCCCCCAAATGAAGTGTCCCATCCTTGGAAGTCCCTGATTTAACTGATATGCATCCTTCTTTGTAAATCCTTGTGATTTGTGAATCATACAGGGTTTGTCCGTTGCATGATGCGGTCAATCAAAGCTGGGACATGTCTCTGCAGAAGTTACCCTCTGGTAATCCAACTCTCCATATAGTGTATGTCCATTTGGGTGGATAAACATGTACATGTTCCGACAAGAAATGGTGATGTTACCAGCTACGTCCCCTCACGTCCCATAACAGGCAGCTGCAGCTTGGTGCAGCCCGGAGGCAGGGAAAATGCACAAACCTATGGAGAGCCAAGAAAGTTTGCAGATATGACCCGCAAAATCATGTAAATATAAATATATGTCTATACCCGCCATCAACTTCCAATCAAAAGTATATATATATATACACGTGTGTGTGTGTGTCTGTATATAAAAGCCATAGCCAAGAATTATTCGATACCGGCACTGCAAATTTGATGAGACGGAGCACTAAACCTTCCAATTTCGATTCGAAGAGGTCAACAATTGTCAGGAAAGGAGCATGAATTTTGACCAACGAAGATGGTGCGAAGAAAAAATGTATGTCCAGTAACTGGAAACTGGAGCAACAACCCCATTCCAACATATTCCAACCACTTTTCTTAGCTACAAATCTTTTATTGAGGGCAGTTTCAAGCTGAATCCTGCTTTGGGGTGAGCAGTGCTTGTCCTACTTGCTAGCGATTTGTTGCGTTCCTGTGACCGTATGGGTTCAGTGAAAGATTTCTGTGGCCATTCCCATCCCACTGGGATGATCTCGGGCGTGTGGTTTCCCATTTCTACTGGATTTCTACTGGATTTCTACTGGATTCCGTAACAAGGTTTAAAAGAGAAAGGTATCAGAAGGTATCAGAAAAATGTGTTACTGTAGTAAAGAGCTTCGCTTGAAATGCTGTCCAAGTATGTCTACCTATATGTTGGATATCTCCCCTAGCACGGCCTTTGTGAGGATCCATCTCTGCAGCGGCTCATCAACAACGCTGCGGCTCGGTGGAAGCGACTGGTCAACTTGGGGTGAAGAACCAGTAGAAATTGCGAGTTCATCAGCAAAACATGAGATCTTGGACCAATTGGACCCATTTGAAAATCAGGGGGTTGGGCCAAACTTGAAGATCTTGCGAGCCCCAAAGTGGCCTGGCTGGTCTGGTCTTAGTCATCCCATGTTTGGACCCCGAGTTGGACCCATCTCCAGCAGTTGCCATGTTTCCCAGGACTGACTTCGCAGGCGTTTTGCCATCATGATTCTTTGGCCCCTAAACTTTTTGTTGCTCCAAGGGCCACTCCAAAGCTAAATCCACATGAATAAATGGACTGAAAGTGAAGAGGATGGAATCGCTAGACTCTTGGAACCATTGTAATCCAATCCCGCAATGGAATGTCCACTGTCAGCAATTCTCTTACAATTCTCCTTCAATAAACTACGCAATTTACCAGCATTTTTACTGGCTCCTTGGATGGTGCTAAGGTGGAGGCTGATGATGGGGATCTGCTGAAGTCTTTGGTGCATTTCTTTCTCAGTTGCTGGGCTGGAGATGAGGATTTTTGAAAATCGCCCAAAGATTCGGCAGGAATGAAACCCATAGAATAAAAGGTTCCCAATTCGAAGCTTCAATCAAGATGGGAAGGGAAACGTCCAAGCCCGAGCTATGAACAAACGAAACAGAGTTGATAAGTTAAGGTAAGGAAATAGCTAAGCGGCTGCAGTAATTTCGCTAGCCGCTAGCTACTTTTAGGACCAGGAGATGCCAGGAGTGTTTTTTTTCGCGTCGCAGTTGAGGTTTACACGCCTGGCACCACGCCTTGCGCAGTCCATTGCTACCACCGGCACCTTGGGAGGAGATCAGTTTTCCAAGAAACCACAGAAATAGGCAAGGAAAATAGGAAAAGAAAATAGGAAGGCAAATTAAGGAAGAAAAAAATCCTGGGAGATTTCCTTCAACTCGAAGTTGAATTTGTATGAAGTTGCGAAAACGAAGCCTGAACCGGTTCCAATGGGCCGATTCGACCATCCGAGCATGGTTTTCGTCTTCTGACTGTGACTCGACTTGATGCAACATCTAAGTGTTCAACTTTATGATACTTGATGTATCTTGATGTTCTACATTACTCAACATCATCTTCATTTGAGTAATTTGAAACACCTTGTCTACTTCAGAAAGGTATGAGCACTGACTATGAAGATATAGGATAAATACGCCCTGGAATTCCCTTTATATAAAGGGTGCGTTTGGGTCCCTTATAAACTTGGCATTTTATGGGAAGGCGTAGGAGGTTGAATTTTCTTAGCTCACGAAGTGAGTGTCGGGGGAGGGGGATGGTTTGTTTCAACATCTGAAACTTTGACGATATCGTGGCGGAACCTGTTGGTGATTCCCACTCTGGTGTTCCTAAAAACTCTTTGGCGCTAAATCGGCGCACAATTTCGGTGCATAATACGGGCTATCATAACTACAATTAGCACCGTTTTCGCATTATTAACTCGAATTTCGACTGAGATAGGGTTCCCGGAAACGGGCCGAAACTTTAAGGCCAGGACCCATTATACAAGGGCGGCCCAAAGAATCGGTTTTACCGCAGTCATCATATAGCTGCAACATTCAATCCTCTGGGTAGGGAAGGCAAAAGGGAAACGAAAATAGTGAAGGAAAATCCGGAAGGAAAATTGGAAAAGAAAGGCGGGGAGGAAAATAGGAAAGGAAATTAGAAAAGGAAAACACGGATAGACACATACGGGTAGAATCTCAGTATGAAACGTCCAAAGTCATAGTTTAAGTTTAAGGTTTCCATAGGTTTTCATAGGTTTTCCATAGGTTTTCATGTTTGTCAAATCATCTACAAGTATATAATCCAGTTGCATCGAATCGCCCCGTAGGAAGGACGGCTGTGCTGTGTTGCAGAGGTGCACCGCTGAAACATCCCGAGGACAGATTTTGCCACCTAGGCTTTGTAAGTCATGTGTCCATATGTGTCCTGGTTTGGGAATGTTTGAGATAACTTGGGCTTCAGATTCAGCAGATTCAGCAGATTCGGGGTTTGCTGCTTTGCTGCCGGATTTGTAGCACCAGGCTTTGGATCAGAGTTGGCGACCCTTTATGCGAGAGGCTCGGGATCTTGACATATCTTGACAGTATGCCAGGCTCTTTCGTGCAACGTTTTCAACCGGCCAATGCTTTATCAAACTAGAAACCACCCAGTCAATCATGGGGCGGTTTTTTCATCCATTCTCAGGGATCAGCTTGAGATTTGGCATTTTGGCGTCCAGGTGCCACAATTTTGTCAGAGCCTAGTGTCAGATTCCCACAGCTGGCAGAAGATGTTGTCAAACCAGGGTGATTTCGGTGATTTCCCACACTGTAGCGGATCCACAATCTTGGCATATCATCATATTCCTGCCATGTTCGAGTTTATTTGCTTTTCAATCTCCTACGGAGCTGTCATCGTCATCATTGTCCAAAGACTGCTTGGACTTCAAAATCAAATGAAGTGACAAAAAATATAAAATGCTAGGTTAAAAACAGCAGATACACCTCTCTGGGTTTGCGCAAAGTTGAAAGAAGCATCTCAACCACGGCACTGTGTCCACCGTGTCAGGGCAGCACTTACCGGCTTCCCACCTTCACTTCCCTGGCACCAATCAGGCGCCTCGGACACCTGGTGCATCCTGGATAGCTAAAGGAAAAGGAAACAAAAATCAGCAGCTACTGAGAGCTACTGAGAGCTACTGTGTTTTGGAACCAAAAATTGGAGCCGTTTTCTACGCGTCTAGATGGACCTCTCCACTGCCCAGGACAGTCGCTGCACCCACGGAGGATCCGGAGGATCCGAAGGATCGGGCACGTGGTTGCGTGGGAAGCAAATAAGCAGCAAATCCAACAAGGTGGAGCTGAGCAGTTTAGCCCCGAATGGTCCTAAGATTGTTTCCATTTGAAGTACTACATCTATTAATCATTATTAGTCTATGAATGATTCACCCCTTCGGAATCTACAACCAAAAGTTGAAAGTTGTAAGGCTGTGAACAACTGGAGCAACTTAGCATAACTTGACCACATTTGATGCCACAGGAAAAAAGCCAGTAATGCGGAAGTTGGGTAAGTTTTACGACCTGTTGTCCTAGTTTTCCACAAATCACTGGCAGGATGGGGTCCCGCAAACCCACTGGTACCTGGATATGGAAGGCGCTGGGCTGGATGTCGGATGATGTCGGATGATGTCGGATGCCAGCTTGAAGGGAAAATCTATATAAGCCTTTAGGCAACACTTTTTCCCTACAGCTTGCAATATAGTCTAGATATGGACGAGTTTCAATCGGAGTTGTTTTCTGTGAACGTGTGTACAGACCGGACTATCTCCAAGTTGGCTGAACAAATTTATATCCACCAATCAGTTGCAAGAGGCTAAGCGGCTAAGCATCTTCATTGATTTCGGGGAGTCGATAGAAATCCCACTCGTTCTGCCCTGTCAGGGACAAGCGTCAACGACACATCGCTGCTGTACATCGATGCAGAGCTGGCAGGTGGAGGCACGAAAATGGGTACCCAGTCATGTCTACGGTAAAGGTGGGAGCCTCTACGATCCTAAGCATTTGTGGTTTGCTGAAGCAATGTTGACAATGTTGAGCCATTTCTAATTCAAAGACTTTGTTTACTGCGTGGAGTGCGGAATTTTTTGGGGAAGGAGTGTGGTATAGTGTGGTATAGTGTGGTATAGTGTGGTAAATACTGGTGGACTCACTTCCAAAAAATCCCCCAGGTGGGATATGGATTCTGCCGCCCTACTGCGTGGTGGAAGTGGTGTCAGCGAAGCTCACAGATGGCGGGGTCGACTACATCACATTGCGACTACCAGGCGAGCCTTGTCGGAGAGGGGGAAAGCTGAACTCGAAACTCGAGCTTTGCCCATTTGGAAATTCGCAAGGAGAGAGGTGTTAAACTATGTAGAATATTGTAGAATATGTGGACGTGCCGGACGTGCCCTGGAGATTCATGTCAAAGGAAGTGGGACACGGGGTGCAAACCCCTTGGACTAACCAGAGAAACACTTGCCGCAGGAGACTCTGTGAGCCGCATGGATTTGCCCATTGGGCCGCCCATGCACCGACTGAGCCTGGACGCCATGGCGGAGGCAGAAGGTGGCAACAGGTGGTAGGAATTGTTGTGACTTGTGAATGCTACAATTGGGCATCAAAACAATCCACCAAAAGAATCCACTTGATGGTCAAACTGATTGGGTCAAAGAGCACCGACTGTGAACAATTGCTTTGTCCAAAATATTGCGGCTTTCGGCTTTCCTATCTCACTGAACGGATACGAGAATAACACAGTGACCCGTGTCACTTGCTCAAACCCAAAGACCGGTTTGCTGCTTTCGACTTGAAAAGAGAGACGAAAGCGAAAAGAGCATGAAAAGTTGCAGGCGTGACGTCACCGTAGGTCCATGCCTTCATCATTGGAAACTGAAGCTGTGTCGCTGGACCAAAGCAAGTCACATGTCCATTCACTGCTGTGGAGCATTGATAGACTGGAAAATCGCTGCTGAATGTTAGTTGCACCAAAAACTCCCGAAGGGGTACTGGATTGAACACAACCTGCACCAAAGCCCCGTGCGCAGCTGTGTTCCTCCTGTGCTACCCGGAGCAGCCAGTGAGTGCAGTGAAAGCCAAGATCTGCCAGATTTTTAAGAGATGCTTGGTTGAAGCGACAAAGTCCTCCCCCGAATGAGCAACTCGGATATAGTTGTAGTTTACAAATACACATATTTATATTCATATACATATACATAAAGACATATACGTATAGATAGTATATATGATATACACATATACAGCGAGAGAAGAGAGAGAGAGAGAGATACTTTGTGACTATGTGACTATGTGCATACATTGCTTTAAGGAGAACTTGGGACCTTTCGGTTGCTCTACAAGGACAATCCGGGGCCTGTGCCGGTTTCGACATCTCCAAATCCCCCAACGGTGTATCTTATGATATGGCATAGATTACATACTTTTGCGTAGAGACGCTGTGGAAATCAGATGAAATCAGAAGCCCCCTTTGCAGAAAGACTATGTGTTTGTGCATTCTCACAAACGTACAAAATTCAGCTGGACCACAGATTCATTCCAGACTATCCTTTCACTTGGTTGATTCAAGGGAAAATCTAGATGAAACCAAGGATTTCAAGATATTTCGAGCATTTCCTGTTTTTGCGCTTCAGACCGCTTCTAGGATTTACCATTGCAAAGCTCTCCAATGACCAATGCATCAACTCTGACAGGACATGATCTTAGACGATGAGGTCCAGTCCTTGGTATTGTGGTATTGTCGTTCGGTACGGTGAAACAGAAAAAAAAAAACAAGGCAGGTCTGAAGATGCACTCCAAGTGCTGGATGAACTCAAACAAGTTCTGATTCACTTTACAGCTTATATCAACTACATATGTTATTCGTATGTGTATATAATCATATATGTAGTATATTATTGTATATTGAGATCCATGTTGATCTTATTTTATCTCCACATGTTGTTATGAAAAGCCATTGATCTCGATTCGCGAGTGCCGGCCCACGAGGCGAGCCTGCGGGCGCAGCAGATCGGCTCCAACGACGTGGTGCATCTCATCTTCAAGGTGCCGGCGACGCGACGCGGCCACAGATGAAACTTCAACGAAATGAAATAATGAATATCTAATATGATATGATCATTATTATTATGAAATATCATGAAATTGATGATCAATTCTAAGGTCAATTCTGATCATCAGTGTCAATAGTCAATCAATTATGGGTATCCGTGTTTCATTTCTGGTGGTTTATTTCTTGAGATGAAATACGTAGGTTCCATGCAGCAACGATCGGCATACAGAGAGACAACTGTTTTTCAAGGTTAGGGAAGACAAGCGGATTACAGTAAAGGATACCAATTCCACGGTCAAAGGGCTTAGTATGTCCTTCCAGAAATACCAGAAAGATATAGAAATAGTATTGATCACTCGTGAAGTTTCAACAGATGTTCACAGTCTTTCGTACAGGATTGCAAGTATTGGAATTGCAAAGAAGTTCTTCGGTTTTTCATCTCTACCGTCCATAAAACTGCCATCAGTTCAACCTTCCGGAGATGACCCCAAGATACCAGGAGCAGCTGCACCATCTGGGATCAGAATTGTTACTGCATTGATGTGAGGACGAAAAGTCTGACGGTTATGAGAAGGTGGGACGCTGATTTGGCTCAGCGGCAAGATCCAAAGTCAAAGGACTATGTGACTATGTCATTTTCTTGATGGTTGGTGGTTTGAATTGTCAAGACTTCTCCAACCCCCTTCTTGACATGTGAAACATTGTGAAACATTGTGAAACTTCAAGTCCCTAATACTTCAGTAGGTTCAAGATCTATTCAAGATCTATTTGATCTGTGTATATATATGTGTGTGTGTGTGCGATTGTCGTAAGGACTTGCTGCGGTTGCAGTGTTTGCCCGTGTTCGCCTCCACCATAGTCCGTCCCGCAGGTGGAATTTGATGATCTGGAGAAGATGCACTTGGACTACGAGGTCGCAACTGCAGACCTAGTTCTTTTAGACCTAGTTACTATAGTTAAATGGGCTGATTATACCCGATCAAACTACCTTTGTTGGATCTGGATTGTGAAAAGCCAATGATGATCATGGATGATCATGGATGATGGAATAGAAATTTGGCAAAGGTTTTGCTCAAGCCTTTGCCCAACCCAACATGAAAGCTTTGAAATGTGCATGGCAGCAAGAATTGTGTCGGCCTTTTCTTGCCTGGTTCCATGTTTCCGCTGGTCCAGCTGAAAGGTGTCGACCTTCCTGCCCAGGCCAAAGCAAAGACCTCGGGTTGAGATTCCGTCGCCGACATTTTGTTTCACGGACGAATTCACCGCGCATCACCACGAAGAAAAGACCAGTCGTGCGATGGCCATTTCACTTGAGCCTGCTGATGGTTGTATGATGGGGTTGTACTACCACGTTCATGTGGATTATTCGAACCCATGCCGATCTGTCAACCAACCAGTAGAGAATTGCTCAAATGAACGTCTGAAGAACTGGTTCTATTGTACCAAAGAATCTGCTTTGAGATTAGTAGTTCTACAACTGGAAAGGTGAGCCGCTAATTTCACAGGTGTAACTTCCACGGCACCCTATGGCTCAAACTTCGCAGGCGACATGCAGAGAGAGAGAGAGAGAGCCAGCTTGGACCAATAGTCCACTTCAACTGGATGGCTCACATGGATGGCTCACATGGATGGCTCACATATGCATCATATGCTCACATCCCCAACAAAAATGCAGTGCAGTCTGGCAGTGTTCATGTCATCCGTGTTATCGCCAACAAAACGCACCGAGCCCTGACCAAAATTCAGGTTGTTTCCATATGTTTCCATGTGTTTCCATGCTGCAAGGGATATTGCCATTGAATTGAAGTGAAGTGAATCTCCAAAAGAAAGCAGCAATTTGTCGTTGCCACTCCAATGTCGTCCAATTTGGTGTCGGAAACCCCAGACTTTTTGGATGGGCAGCCCCACGAGGGAATCCTGACACCAACATGCAGCGTTTAGTGTTGGCAGTGGCTCGCCAACGATAGTTTTCAAAGTGAAGAAAGAAATTCATGTATACAAAAGATTACAAAAGAGTCTTGCACAGCAGCATCCATGCCTTGTTGTATCATGTACATCATATCATGAGATATTGACTATACAGACTACTACAGTGACTAGATCTTTGATATACTGATCTCACATGACCCATCAGGACCCATCATCCCACTATCCTCCCAGCTCACGAGGCGACAGGTGGGTTTCTATGTGCCGGAGCCTGGTGCACCGTAAAAACAGAACGAACAGCTCCCTAACTGTGGATCCATACGCATCCGTATGGGGGAATTGGAAGCAAAAGAGCAGGAAACGTCATCTCAAACATGTGAAAAACATGTGAAAACTCTGGAAAGATCCATTGCAGAAGAAATTAGGTTCCTAAGACACCGTTTTCGGTGGTGAGTCGGACACGTGTCGGTACTGTGGCACTGCTTGTTGGCTAGAAAATGCTAGAAATAGTTGCGAGACCATCAACACAGAAGTCCCACGGATCCATCTGCGGCCTGGCTCCAGAACGGTGAAAGCGCCACGGGGAAGATATCGCGGCCGCGCCCGACGCAGAGCTGCATTTGATGCAAAGTGGAGCCAGAATGATTCAATGATTCAATAATGTTGGATGTGGTCACTGTATCACAGAAGTATAGCAACTTTTATCATCTGGTGGATTATGAGAAACCATTGCTACCCAAAGTGCGGTTATTCTGTCCGCCATAAAACAAAAAAAATGATGAACTGCTTGGAAACCTTCAAGCGCTTGCCTTTATCAGTTTTGATGCCAGAGGTGTATCCCCCGAGAAATTTGGCAAATTGGGCGTGTTGACTGCAGATGACCCATCAGACAATCAGGTGGTATCTAGTCTTGTTGTTCGGCTCAGAAATCATGCGGGGTGTAGTGACCTAAGGTCATTTTCATCGGTTTCCATGCAATATTTGACAAATTTTCTGAATCAAGGTCCAAAGAATCAGGAGATATAGCTGTTGCATGAGCAAATGAAGATGGGTTCACAAAGGTCAGTACTGATCAGTCCTGTCAAGATAAATGGACCCTCTGATTTTCCCACATTGTTCCCAAGTCGGTTTGTCTGCGTGTGTGTGTGTGTGTCTAACTACCTTCTCTAGTCAAATCTAAGCTAATCATATCTTTATCTGTATCCTTAATTGCATCATATGTTTATGTGTATCTTATCTTTATCATGTTTCTTTTTCTTATCTTGATTTATGAACAATCTTATTATGGTGAAACTTTCTGTGATCTCAGGTGAAGCGATGAGCCAAAGCATCGAGACGGCGCCACGGCAAAGCCAGGCAAGGGTGCCAAATATGTTTCCAAGATGAGAGGCATTTAGTATATTTAGTATATTTAGTATATTTATTGCATGAAAGCAGGCTTTGGCTCGTTTTTATCGAAAACTCGAGGTTTGGCTTTAAGATGCTTTGAGTGAAAGACATCACCGGGTGACCGTGGCAATGGCTTTCTTGCCAGGCACCTTCCCGTCAAAGGAGCACCGTTGGGAGCGCCAAAGCGGGGAGGAGCTCGCGATGAGCGCTGTGGGATGTTGTCGAAACGAAAGGAGCATCGGGACAACTGGAGGATAAAGTGGTGACAAATATGTTGCGCATAACTGAAATCATAAAAATTCCACATCATGAAACATCCCACAGAAGTGCTCTTAGTGCTCTTAACCCCTGACAAAACCCCAGATTGATGGGACAACTGAAAGTGAAATCCGATATTATCACGGCGAAGATTCTCCAACATGCTCCCCATGGAAATTGCTGGAAAATCCCACATTTTGATCATTGGTCCAGAAAATAGATCCCATGTTGATCATTGGGGCCGAAAACCCAGCGCACCCACTTCATTTTTGCTACTTCAACTCTCCTGTGTGGTTCGTTTGGCATTCGATATTGATATCCTCCATGTGTCAAGTTGGTCCCTGGACAAAGTAAATCACCAGCCCCGCATTCCGAGGCTTATAACCAGAACCGACACATTCGCTTCTGCCATGTGCGCAGGGAAATGGGACTAAGATGGACTAAGGGGTCTTGGAGACGCCCTTGGGAACGAGTCAAATTCGATCCCCGAAACCACGTGGATCCCAGTCATTGGCTTCTCTCACGAAATTTGGTTTAGCGGAAACCATGACTGAACAGCACTGTACAAATGAATCTCCGTGAGTTGGATCCACTCTCGGCAGGATTGCGGGATATCCTGTGGATATCGTCATTGTGCGGAGTAAATTTCACCGAAAAGAATGGTTGTTATTGGTTGTTACATGTTGGAATGTTTCATTACACGTTACATCACGTTACATTGTGTCAAGGAGTCCTCTGATTCCATTGGATGTGGGAGTTCACCAGGAAGACAAGACCATCTGTGACAACAAGGTGGTCACATCGTACCTTGGAAGCGTAAAACGACGGTGAGACATGGTGAGACTGTGCAGGCAGCCAAGATGGAGATATCAGCAGCACGAGGCAATCATGGTTTACTTAGTTGACTTTAGTTGGGAAGTGGTTGGTAGCGGATGATTCTCCCTGACTTTAAGATGTTGAGTGAAACCACCAGATGACAAGTTGACAGTTCATGGGGTCCCTTTGGTACATCTTGGTACATTTTGGTACATGTTCTCATGTTCCTCCCACAGTGAACGATGTGAACGATGTTTTCACCCTACCGAGGCACTATACCGTTTTGAACTTTGTCCCGAAGAACTTGCTGGAGCAGCTACTGGGCGGTTGGTCCTGCAGTTTTCAGACAGGTCCAAGGAGATACTGTAACCGTTTTTTATCACCAAGATATACTGTAACAAACTAACATACCATATATACCATGTAACATACTATAAAATATTCTAAAATACTACTATAGTAGTTACTATATGTTACTATAACTCACCCCTTTTGAATATGTTTGATATGATTGTGTTCGTCCTCATATCTGGGGGACCCATTCCGCAGCAAATGTGGTGACATTTGACGCTACGAAATCCACTGTGGGCATGTTGACAGAAACAGCTAAGGACAGCTTGGATGGGTTTCGGGTCGAGGGCTGCACCACTCATTTTATAGGGCATGTATGTCATGTCAGCTATGTCGGCATGTATCACTTGATCCCCATTGATCCAAGGTTTGCCAAACCTGCCAATATGTACTTCCTGTTCCTGATGTGTTTGCAGACGATCCCAGAGGCAACTGCACCGACTGTCGTGAACTTCTTTGTGATACTAACTAACAGTTACTAACACTATAACACTATACTAACCATTTGTGAAAGCATCCAGAAATGGGCCAAGGAAAAGGGTTTTCCGATCCCTTCTGTGACACACCAGTGTCTCCACTGTCTTGACATGAATCCGAACAGAACACTAGACAACATTTCTCTTGGATCGAAACCTGACTTGGTGGAATTAGTTGATCCATGTTGATCCTGTACTGGTGTGAGGTGCTCTGGTTTCAGTCGCTTCGACTTGCTCGAATGATAAGATCCAAATTGACAGGTGACCGTCACAGGGCAGATTCCAACGATTGCATTTCCGTTGGTGTGACTCGCCGGGATCAACTCGGAAAGGGATGGCAGGGATGGCAGGGATGGGCGATGGGTGTGAATGGGGATCAGATGGGATCAGGCAAATCAGCCTGTTCTCTCAAAGACCATCCCCACCATCATCCCTATCCCTTGCATCTACCAAACTCTGCACGTGCCCCATGTGCTCGAACTGCCGGAACTTGAGGACGGTGATAGTGATGAACGCCTTGAAGGAGCGCCGGGTATCTGGTTTCCGATGTGTCTGCTGCAAAATCGGTTGATTTTTCACATTAAGATAGCTTCAGCATCCTTCAGCTCGTTTTCAGATTTGAACATGTTGAACCGTTGGACCCACTAAAGATAGTAAAGCGATGCTTAGCCACTGCAGGACGCCTTGGAGGATTGGAGGAGACACAAATCCGATCGCAGCTCGGTTTTTTACTCCCCGTTGGTTCGTTTCCCCTTGTTTTTGGGATCACATAGCTAGATGGTTGCCAACCAATTCAAGCCAGTGAGGATATTTATCGCGTTTTTTGCCATTCTTGGATCATTTTTCAACTATTCCTCGGCCATTCTTCAATCTTTTTCCCCTTGAGGCCCAAGGTTTCCCAGCTATGCCAGCTATGCCAGCGCCAGCCGTGAGGTGAAGAGAACGAGCGCGAGGTCTTAGCGATGGAGAACGGCAAGTTGAAGTCACGCCGTTGGTGTGATCTCCACGCCCCTCGCACCGCTGGGGCTGGGGCAAACCTGGCACCCCAAAAAGGGAATATGCTGAGGTGGCTCCAAAGGCTTGTCTATGTGGAATATGTGGGAATTATTCGCAACCTTTCAACTCTTTTCAATACGTTTCAGAACTGAAATTCGATGCAAAGTTATAGTGTGCCCCTTCACCTCCAGCGTCAAGGTTGGTAGCATGGTGGTGGTGAGGCCTCCGATGTGTCAAGGGGTGCAACCAACAAGAATTGAAGACTGAAACCAGCAAAAATTGCGGAATTCGCTTGATCTTAAGAAGAGAAGTGGGGATGTCGCCAACTATCATTGTGTTTTTTTAATTGCTGACAGCCGCTTCTTGCTTTCGAACCCGCGATCTTTTCTCCATTCCCCGTCGAAATAGGATGATGATCACTGATGACTTTCATTTTTGTCTGCACCACCCAATCTGTTGACTGTCCCCAGATTTGTCGATGAACAAACAATTTTTCATGATGCTTGTTGGAGCTTTCCAAGAACAAGAGGTTCAGAGGGGACAAAGTGAAGAGTGAGAAGAACGAAACGACACAGGGAGCTGCCAAAAAGCTGCGCAATATGCCTACCAGAGAAGCAGTGTCAACCTACAAAGTTTGTCTTTTCTTTGCCAAACACGAAGTCCCAAACTCTGCCAGGCAAAACGAATATGTGCCAGCGGATTTGGCTGCTGAGCTGATTGAGCTGGGATTTGGGGATTGGTCAGGGCTTTTCTTACGAGATGATAAGATTGGCCAAGATACTGGAGGTCCAGATGTGGCCCTCAGCTTCACTGAGTAAAATTGTTGTTTTCTATAAGGCCCTGTTGACAAAAATCGGGGACAGGATTGAGCCATGCTTTTGGCTCTTGGTCTACATGTCAGTGTGACTGTAGAGGTGTCTGAAGGGTTCGCTTTAGCCAGGGAAACCAACACGGAAACCATTGTTGGAACTGAAATCCAGCAGGGATTGTAGAGGTTGATGAGCAACTGTAGCAACCTCCAAATATTGTAATTCTATTGTAGTTCAAGGGTCTCCGGGTCTCCTCGACTGAAGCTGTCAGGTGTTGCTGTCGACTTCACATGAAGAGGGCCATGTGTCTTGGACACCGACCAAGATCTAGGAGCTACAGATAGCTACAGATAGCTACAGTTGCTCTGGGAATTGGGGTCGCTGAAATTCATTGCTTTACCACAGAATTCCCTTCAGCCATATGTGGTGCCATACGTCATCGTGTGCCATCCTAGACATTTGTATGGGCTGGGATGTCCACGTTACATGGAGATGGAAGATCTGGAAGATCTGGAAGCCTGAAAGGAAAGAAAGGAAAGTAGCGCAAAACGAGCTTTCGCCGAGAGGTCCTTGTTGGATCAACGCACGTGGTGTCCCACATTCCATGGCATTCCATGGCATTCCATGGCATTCCATGTGCACCGAAGTTCACCATTCCGGGTCGATGTTGTTCATGGCATGGGACAAATTGCACCCCAGATTTTTTCCACATCTGCCAAGGTCTATATTGAGACTGCCAACTTGGATGGAGAGACCAACCTGAAGACCAAAATGGCGGGGGGGGTGTTGAGGGTGCATGAGGGTCCATGAGGGTGCAAGGTTTGCGAGCAGATGGTTACAAGTTGGCCCGGAGATACCGTAGCTGCTACTAACTGCTGTAGCTATCATCCAAGTGCTGTAGCTATTTGGTTGCATGTGGCATGAGCTGCTACTTTCTGCCATCTACTTGGTAGTTTCCAAGGATTTTAACAACTTTGGCGTCTTGACCAGGCACCCAACCAGAGCTTTAAGCTCGTGGGGCACCACGCCATCTGGCAGCACTTCCTGGGCAGAGTTTTCCGCTGATTTGAAGAAATAGTCTGAATGCCCATTTATGCCAACCCTCCTCTGTACTACCAGTTTTTTTTCCTGGGGGTTCAGTACGCTTTTTAAAAAACACTATTTTCCAAAAATCTAGCAGACAGTGGGTGAGGGTCCCGGGGCATGATATGGGGCCAGGAATAAAATATCATACCAAAAAAGGCCCAGATTTTTTTTCCTGAAAGCTTCCTGACGTACAGTGACAGGAAATCAATTTCTGCCTGTTGTGATTGAGGGGGGGTTGATCTATCAGTCTGTGTATGTAAGGCATCAGGAAATCAATCATGAATGACTCTGATAACGGGTAAGTTTGTAGAATTCCCAAGGTTAGTAGCCAGGAATTTGAAGGTGGATGGATCAAATGGGAGTTTACTAGAACATATCTAAATGTCAACCCCAGGAAAAAATGTACCATGATTAATTGAGGGGGTATGATTCTTTACATGACTTTGCAAAAGGGTACAAAGACATATGTTCACCTTCACCAACCAAAAAAGTGACTTCAAGAGGCCAAGGCGCAGGGGTCAAAAATAAAATCCAAGGGGCTGGACCTTTTTTGACTGAATACTTGCGGATGATCTTCAAAGGTTGGCCCACAGGAAAAAAGTCGTATCTCCAGACCAATCATCCACAGATAGGACATGATGGGACGAATTCAAGAATTTTGTGTCAACGCGCCCAAATTGCAAAACAGGCGTGTTTTTTCTGAAAATACATTTGTCCATGCAAAAGGGTTGCGCATTGCCGTGGGCATCTGCCGGACCGCACTCGTGAAGCCGTGGACTCTGAAAAACTGCGAGCTGTCAGCCGGGAAGTCAGGTGCCAGGAATTCATTTTTTTCCGTATCAGATTGAGGGGGGGGAAGATATGGCATGTTACCAACGCAAGCATCCAGGAAATAATTTTTTTTACTTGGATACCAGAGGGGTAAATTTATTGGATGTTGGACGTTGGGCACCAGGAAATTAGCAAAAAAAATCAAAAAGGCCGTTGGAAGTGAGATTTCGGCTTCAGAGGTTAGGAGCCAGGAATTTAAAGCTCTAAAACCTCTCTCAAAGGTTAGGGGTCATAATTTTAGACCGATTTTTTTCTAGGACTGTACCCCACGTTGGAGTACAGACGGGGATTATGCCATTTATGCCATTTATGCGGGTCAAATATAACATGCTGGAACCGTTGTTTTTTTTCAATGCCAACCGCCAAACAGTGGCTGTCAGCGGCCGTCAGCGGCTGAGGAGACCATGGAACAAGCAGCTCTGGCCGCGTGCGCGCTGGACATGTACTGTGCATCTTGGCGAAGCTCCAGCATCCAATGCGGCCCTTTCACCAACATGGTGGGTTGGGTGTTGACCGGGGAAAGTGTGGGGGGAATTGATTTGCATTTATTGATATGATGCTGCTATGAAAATATTTCAAAATATGATAAGTTTCCTGATTAAGATGCAATTGTATGCTATTGTTATAGATTTGAAACTGAAATGAAATGATATGATATTACATGAGGATACAATGGCAACATCATTGTTTGCTGGTGAAATTTAACATCGACCCAAGGACTTGTTGGACTCCAGGTCCTTAGCTCTGACCGAGGAATGCGAGCTGCCGAACGAGTTTCTCTACACCTTCGCATCTCAGCTTCCAATGTTCGGTGAGACTTTCAGAAATTGAGGAAATTTGGTTCCGGCCTTTTTGGGCGTTTTTGGATGGGCAGATTTGGGCAGACAACACCGAGGCTGGCAACATCACCGTGAACGCTCAAGGCCTGCCTGATCCGCCCGGAAATACATTGCATAGCAAAGATGATCCCAAACGACGGCTAATATATAGTAATATTAGATAATTAGATATATGAATTATATGATTTACATGATATATGTCATCAGCTTGTAGGGCACCTCATATTATAGTCAATCCATAAAGATGTGCTCTGATCGATTTTGGTAGATGTAATGTGGTTTCAAGAGCTGCATCCAATTTCGGTCTCCAGTTGGAAGCCATTCAATTCATCCATCCACTGTGGGTGCCACAAATGTCCCATTGCCATCCATTGCCAGCGTATCACTTGAAGCTGGATATCACTAGCAAGGTGAAATGACTCGTGGAGTCCTCCGAAGTACTACATTGAAGTATAGGTGGAACAGGTGGCTAGTCCTAAACCTGTTTTAAGGATCAGGGCCATCTTCCCATCCCCCTTTGTGCCGTGATGATAGGCAAGAAAGGAAACATCTCTGTGGACGAGCAGCACGTGCTCCTCCGTGGTTGTCACTCGTGCAGAATTTGTCCGCAGAAATCCATGTCTTCGAAAGAAATGTTGGAGCCCATTGGGGAAAACAAAAGGGGTTCAATGGAGGATGGTATAGAATGGTATAGGATGGTGGATCATGGTGGATCATGGTTGAGGCAAAGTGAAGAACATCGCTTGGTGCTTGGGCTCAGTGATCTACAGTGGCAAGGAGATATGGCGGGCGATGTGGTTTTCCGGTTGATTCCTGCGGTGGAGGTCAGTTTTGCAAAGGTGTGTGAATGTGATACAAAGAGTGTGTTGTTTTTGGGCCCATGCGGTGTTCGAATGATTGGGTGGACTGAACAATACTACCAACAAGACCAGTGTATCTGTACAGTGTATCCCAATGTATCACACATTTTAGACTCCTCGTCTTCAGGCAGGATGGCTTAGTCAATGTTCTTCGTTTGAACTTGACAACTAGGTAACTAGGGGAAGTCGCTGCTTCCAGGAGACCAAGATCATGATGAACAGCAAGAAGCAGAAGGTGAGACCCTAACTTCAGCCGTGACAACCAATGCTTGAAACCTAGTGACCTAGTGGTGTTGAAAGGACTGGTTTTCCATTTAAAAAAAACTGAAATGTGTATTTGCTCAGTGTAATCCTTTAGCCGCTTTAGCCTCCTGAATTTAGTGCAAATTTCGACGACTGCGCTGACCGTGTGGACCAATTGGACTCAAAGTTGTCGCCAGTCCATGCTGGGATCAGGAAATATCCGAAACCTGTCCTTTTTGGATCATTTCTAACATGGCATAGTCATGCATAGTCCGGAAAGACTGCCCATCGAAAGCTTAACCGTAACCCAGACATTTCACAAGCCCATCTTGGGGTCTCCAGGGCCGAAAGATCTCCCACTTAGAGCGTGACGTTGGCAAGTCTCCCGGCCATGGGGTGCCAGTGATGGAAAGTTGGAGAGTAGTTGCACCCTCGGTGGACTTTCAACCTCGGTTTTGGATGGTTTTGGTCATTTGCTGGGCTCATCCTCTGAGTTTAACCCGCCCAAAGTTTCCAACCTCGGGGCCACCAAAACAAACAGAGGGGGCAGCTATGGCTCCATTTTTGATCCAAGGCTCACCTGTTTGATCTTCGCCATTCAGAGCCTCGGCACAGAGGGAGGTGCTCTAGGATGTCAGTGGCACAGGGATTCCGTGGTAAAATATTGATCCAGTGGGCCATTGATCCAGAGATGAATCTCCTGACGATGACTGTGGTGTCATTTATCGAACTCTGATTTACGCAAGTTCTTCCCACCACAACAAACGAGCAAAATCAAGCAAACAGGTCCATCAAAGTGACAAGAATGCCACACTCTTCACCTACTACAGGGATTAGGGGCTTCAATTATTTACATGGCTGGAAAAATCAACATGGAACAATTGCCAGGACTCCGATAGGGTAATAGTTCTCCATCTCTCCATTGTTGGGGTTTCTATACTGTCTATATTAGAGACAAGAATCTCCACGTTTGCTGGTTTGATATCCATTGCAGGGTTTTGGCCATACCAAAAGCCATTCTATACTATGTTGAACATAGATGTGGGCATCATCATCATCATCATCATCATCATCATCATCATCATCACCACGTCATGTATGTATATATATATATATTATATTCCCGCACACCTATCCCAAAAAGCATCTGTCAAAACCACCAGTGCCCCATTGCCTCAGGATGGTCCTTTGCCTCATTGCTGCCATCGCCAGTGCCATCTTCGAGACGTCAGAGGCATCGGTGACTGGGAAAGGTTGACCAAGGCATTTGGAACCGATTTGTGGCTGTGTAGTGAATTAATCCAGGCGTAGCCAAAGTCCCAGAAATTCAGGTTAGACAGCACAACACACGACGGGCGGCGCCATGGCAAGGAGAACCTGCGGAAGAAGTATTTGAACCTCACTGATGCGGATGGCAACGCCCGCAATGCTCTCTTAGCACCTTGGACCCGGAGAATAAACCATGATAAGAGTCAGATTCTGCATATGCCTATAGCTAGTGTGGTAGGTTAGGTTCCCCAAATGTAAACAGCCCCTCCTGGAGACTATGAATCCCATTTCACTCATAAATGTTCTGCATTTACAATAAGATATATATATATTGTTCATACATGGTCATACAATATATTTTTTGCTGTCACACTGGCAACAAGTTCTCTACCATGTTGGACAGCTGTGGATCTCAACGGAGAACTGAGGTGTTGCTCATCCGCTGCTTGGCGCGGGCGTCGTGGCATTCCACGTCAAAGCCATCCTTTGGTATTTTCCAACGTAAGAATTCTACAAGAATTTTAGCGACATATAACAATTGTGTAACAGGATAGAATTGGAATGATATCGCAGTTGAATAGGATTGCTCGACCTAAATATAGTGTACGTTTATAGTCATGCATCATGTCGGTCGTTCTACGAATTCTCCCAGCTCAATGTCATCTAAAAGCTAGCCTTCTAAAGTCTCGTATTCAACTGCCACGCAGCAGTGAATTTCCATAAGTATCATTAGTGGGTATGATCCCAGGAAGCAGCCATGAGAGGCACCATCAGTTGGAAAGGATTTTCGAGGAATTTGGAATTTGGCCTGAGGTTTCTTCAATTTCATGCTGCTGTTTTCGAACTTCATTCCCATCTCTCTGATTGCAACTCAGCAGCAGACCGAGTCGAGCCAATTGGTTGGCACCTCGCGAAAGTTGGAAACACATTTGGAGCCTCAGCCCACTTTCTAGTTCCGGTATGCTGACAAATGGAGCAATGGAAGGTAATCGTTTCCAAACAAGAAGTGACATACAAGAGAATTTCCCAAGATGACATCTCAATTCAAAAGCAAAACATCGGTTGGTAACTGAGACATCTTAATGTTGTTTTCTGCTCTCCGAGTTGCTTTGCATATGCACTTACCGCATACCGCATACTTACCTGGGAAGATCTGGTCTTCGACATTGGCCTGGGCTTGGCGGCACCTGGGCAGGTCTCCATGAGCTTCGCCAAGTTGGCACAGATTTTTTTCTTCTATGCGGACAATGACATGATTTACCAGGCGCGCACGGGTGGAGATACCTTTGTAGAAGTTCGGCAGATTTGATCCTTGAGAAACCTTGGGTGCCATTGCTCAAATGAACAAAAAACGAAACGAATGGCTTCAACGGCTTCAACGGCTTTACAGTATACTGATGTAGACTTAGTAACTTAGTATGCATCTGTATACTTTGATTCATCCGCTCGGGCTGGCATCCCACACCATCTTTTCCTACTGATTTGGCCAGGGCATTCATTGCATGCCGCGGACTTCGGATCTCAATGAAGAATTGGGACAAGTGGAGTACGTCTTCTCGGCCACTTGGTACTTGCATTGACACCGCAGTTTCGAAAGCACTGCTGTACTGAAAGCAATCCCTCAATCCGACTCAATCCCGAAGAGTTGTACATCTCTGCTCTTGGACAGTCTGCATCACTTTTCAAGGCATCTTTTTGTGAATTATCAGAGTAAATAAACAGATAAAGCTGCCAAGTCACTGTGGCCATGAGCTCAGGACAAAACCGGTACACTTACTTGCTGCTCGGCATGAAAATGGATGGCGCGCTCCCTGAAAATGGTTTCAAGCTCGTGAAAGGTTGGGAGTTTCAAGTTTTCGAAAGGGTCAAGAGTCAAGAGACTGGTTTTTCGCCATGCTCTCTGAGCTCCTTCCAGGCAATGTGATGGACTTCCGCAAGTTCTGTGTCAAAGGCATCACTTATGGCCAGGCCTGGTGTCGAGGTTGTGATGAAGATAGTAACCGCAGTAACGTTCAGGTAGATCGCTGCCCCGCACGCTGGTAACTCATTGGTCTTTGTCACGCTGTCATGGAGTTCCTGTGAGAAATGACGAGGGCTCATGTAGCGTGCCAGGGCATGACGGAGATCAAGAGACAGGTCACGGCCTTAGTTTGCTCCAATTCCTTCGTTTCTGCCTTCATGTGGTCAATATTTGGTCAATATTTGGTCAGTCTGGTCATGTTGGCTCAGGCTGGCCCCTGATCGATGATTAGAATGATTAGATCCCCATCGTTAGGTCTTGGAAAAAGGGCTGGTCCAGTTTGACCTACGATTCTTGAGCCGCACAGGGCATCCAGAACCCAACTTTCTTCGGAACTTGGGTTTCTGGGTTCAAAGCTTCCCCAGACAGATCCGGGGCGGCACAGAAACGGCATGGTGGCATCATTCACCATCCAGATTTGAGCCATATCCCAGATATCCCTAAAGTAATGATGCGATTCATGCAGATTTTTTGAAATAATGACCTCGTGAACCTTGGGTTTTGGCGGCTTCACCGAGGTGATGATGAAGATGGGAAAGACGGTGGAGGACATGGATCTGGGTTCCCTCCATGCCGGGCTGATGGTTTCGATGGGTTCCAATCTGTTTTATGTATCTTTATGTTCTAATATGTTCTTCTATGTTCTACTGTACCTGGTACTTGTCAATAAGGTGCTGAATTGCCAGATATTTTTTCGGGTTGAAGCGAGATTTTGTTTGAGACGAGGGAATTGGGGATTCATGGCGATGCAGAGTTTCATCCAGGCTTCAGAGATCAGCCACGGTGCCAGGAGCCACCCGTCGCAGAACCAGGTGCCAAGAGGACAGCGCTGTTTTTTTTGGCTGGTCGTGTACCGTACCCATCCACGGCATGTTGATGGATTGCCTTCCGTTAGCGGATTTTGAGGTCGGGATCCAGAACGGTATTCTAAGAGATTAAACTCGCCGCGAAACATGGAGAGTTGATTCTCCCCGAACCTCAGGAAATCTCCTGATGCATTCCCGAAAATCCTGCCACAAATGGAAGACAAATGTCTCGTCTATTTCCCGCCATCAACATGGCAAGACTTCTGGTTGCCATTCATTGTGGCTGGACCTGAAAACTCATCCAAGGAATTGAATGCTTACCCTCTGGCGGCAAACGCACCTGGCATGGGAAAATCCCTCAATTTGTAGATGAGATTCCTCAGCAAAGTCTACTAAGTTTACTAAGTCTACTAAAACTATCCTGGGATTTTCCATTGCCATCCACATCTGCAGGACTCCCCACGTTGATCTAGTAGATCCAAGGATCGACGAGCTCATGAGGTCCTGAACCGTGCCTGGGGTCATGTTAGGTTTGGTTCATGGCTCAGATGGTTGCCAACAAATATGGGGGTGGATCCACAAAAAAACTCAAAAAAACATGGAAATGATATGTGCAGATATACAATTATCATCAATTATCAACTAACTAGTCATCATTGCCTACTGGGTTGTCTTCGCATGTTCATGCTTTGCTCATGCATGGCACCACTGTCATCCGTCACTCAAGCTTTGGGCTGCGTGCCGTGGAAAGCGTGCGGCGCGCTGTGTGAGGCAGGGCTCCGTGAGGGTGTTACAAAAGTGGCAGAAATTTGTGGAGAATCCAGCACAAAATGGATCAAGATTAGGGAATGGCATCTGACATACCAGGTGTAATTCATCGTTATCGGAGATGGCCATTCAAATTTTGCCTTTGATATGTCACTTGACCTGTCTTTGGTTCACCAGGAGGACCATGACGGACGAGAAGAAGAAACCTTCGCGTGCAGCGACGCCGCCACCCAAGGATGGGGGGAACCAGTTGAACCAAAGCTGTCTTGCTGTAGATGGTCAAGGTCGAACTGGCAAGGGCCATCAACAAGTTCCCCATCCTCAACGATCCCCCAAATCGTGCCCTTCTATTGCGCAAAGGATGTATCCCCACATCCTTGATGACCTTTTGACTTACATTTGTTTGATGCTTGCTGCATTATTAGAAGATCAACGGAAAATCCAGTTGTGAAGCATCAGAATGAGCTGCTGTTCTCAGGACCTGACCCTAGGATTTGATCATGAGAACACACCAAGACACTACTATCAGTACTATCAGTACTTATACTTTGAAGTCTTATGAAATTGTATGAAATTGTGATACCTTAAAATCCAATGGAAACTGCTTATTCAAGCATAATATGGGAACATCTCAACATCTTGCGTAAGCCGCCTGGCGCAATATCCGAAAGGAGCGGGTGAAGGAAGCAGAGAAGCTGGGCATTGAATTTTCGCTGGGAAATTGGCGGAAAATCTTAGCGCTGAAAGGACTGGACAGGATTTACTTCGCAAAAATGACTGAAATCGGATCACCTTGACAGATGAGACTGTTCAAAATGTGCTATGTGCTGCTTCAACGAGTTTCCCATCAAAGCTCCTTGCACGGGCTACCGGATATCCTGGTGAAGATATAGCTACCCGAAACTGGGCGCCTGGGAGTTTATTGTGACGCTCCTGTTTGACCTAGGAAGGTGGCAACGACGAAGGCCTGTGATCGAACCATCCCCAGCAACGATCCTGATCCGCTCATGGACTTCATGGACGCCATGGAAAGTCATGGACATGCTACAAGCTGCTACAGCAACTCTTGGTTTTAGCCGATTGGAGAAAGCGTAAGCCGGACTCAAAGAAAAATATGTTACAAGTTGTTACAAGAGGGTTGTACCGGTGCGGTCGCCATGGATCATCCAGTCTGACCGACGTGCCAGGAAGAGAAAAGGGAGCTGGAATTTGGAGGTCCAGTTCTAGACTTAGATTCCTGAAAGGAGTCCACTGGCCGAAGCGCACTTGAATTCATTTTGATCTCCCATCCTGATCATCCTGATCACATCCTGATTTCGGTTTCGCACTGAGGTTGGAAACCTTTTTATCATGGTCACTTCTCACATTCTGATGTCACTTGTCCGCATCAGATGCAGCTTGAATCTTCTGAAATCTTCTGAAATCCAGCATTTGGTTTCAAGCACTGGAGAGTTCACCATTGCAGAAATGTTGGGACAAAAAGGTTGCTAGAAAACTCCTCAGGCCGTTACTGGTGAACACAGAATTTGTACAATTGATTTGTTTTGTATTGAAGCTGTTGTTTCTCCTCTCAAACAGGCGAAAGACATTGGTCCTCTCAAAGTCCTTTTATCTTTGGCTCTTCGAACACCTGAGATCAAACTCGACCAAACTCAAAGGAAATTCCATTATCTGCAGATTATCTGCAGATTATCTGCAGATTATCTGCAGATTATCTGCAGAGATGTTCATCTTAAAACGGTCCTCCTTTGGAAGCCACAGTGAAGTTGTCAATTCGTCGCCCAGGTATTGCATGGCCGCCTCACTGCCACTTGGCGTGTTTTGGGACGTCGAAGGGTTGCAGTGTCTTGGGAGCCAAAACAAAAGCTGATGCTGAGAGTCTGAAGTTGTAGAAAACTCCGCTGGGACAAATCCACCCCGGCATTGTTTGAAATGGAGCCTAGTGGCCTAGTGGAACTTCACAAATGTTTACCTGATCCTCCATGCCACAAGGTACGGCAGCGAGCCGATGCAGTATGCCGGGCACTCATTGAGTCCTGGAAAGCGATGGTGAGACGAAACTCCAATTGTTTCAGCAAAATTTGGTATTTCAGCGGCGTTTTTCACCCCAAGGGCCCAAGGGGATTGGATGTCCGAAACGGGAGAGTAGACACCGCAGGAATACCAACTATGTGGATCATGTTTTCATTACTTCCACCTTAGCACCCTTAGCACCTTAGCACCTCTGTCGATTTGGCCGCTCAGGTGCCAACCATCAAGTCCGTCTCTTGGTTCTTGTGCTGCTCGGCTGGACAGGCTGCTGCCTTCCCAGTTATCCTACTTGGTGGCTCACATCAGGTGGGACTAGGCCCAGAATTTGGTAGTTTCCGCCATGCAACTAGAATATGGTTGTCCACTCTGTATTTTGATTTGTTTGCCAATTTGCCAACTGTCATAGTCTCCAACATGTGACCATTCCAAGCAAAGCAACGGGTGTTCAACTTTTTGATCTGTACCGCCTATTCATGCCTATACCATTCAACACCAAGACAACTCCTTAAACAACTTCTTGATGGCATCCCAGGCTATCACGCCTCGCAAGTCCTGTTGGCTCGGTATATGCCAGGCGGGCTGCAATTCCAAAGGTTGGGTTTCAGTTCCAGGTTGAAAAGCCCCTGCCAGCAGAGATGACGACAGCAGGTGTGCTGGTCCAAACCAATGGCTTGGATTACCCATGCAACGGCCACTGGGCTGCCTCATGGATTCCTGCGTTTATTTTGGCAAATATCCAAACCTCTTTGATTTCTTGTCAATTCTTGAAGACATCGCCAACTTAAGGCACTTCTAACCCTTAAGGCTTGATCCTGTGAATGTGTATTTTCCCAATGGATCTCAACCTATGTTTGTGTGCATCAAATCTATTATTGTAACCGATCTCTCCTTCACAACATTGTGTGCCAAAAGTGCCAAAACCCCGTGCTTGGTTCATTTCCAGCGCCACGTACTGAGCGGCGCTGAGTGCTGAGGTTATTGGAGCTTTTGGGCCACCCTGGGGGGTGCCTTCCTGTTGCACCTCGTGGGCATCTTCGATCTCACGACTTTGGTCAAGGAGTATCCGTGCCTTGCCGGGGTGATCCGTTGGGGTATGGAAGTTTTATGAAGTTTTGAGGTGTACCCAGGTTGGGTTGATGGGGTTGATGATATGAACCCAAAATTGTTGGATTTTGTCCCGGTATAACCCGGTATAACCCGGTTACCAAGGTCATTCTTGACGACAGCCATCGTTCTTGGCGACATCTACTCGGTGATCATCCACGTTTGTCACGCCACTGCGGCCAAGTATGTGTCGAAGATGGAGAACTGGTTGGAAGTTGTAACGACTTAAGATGTTGCCCAAAATTGGGATCGCAATTCCTGATGACATCAATGAACTTTAAGTTTTGAATCTCAAACTCAAACACTTCAATGATGATCTGGGTGAGTCATCAGGATTTTCAGCGATATGTCTCAGGATCCCATCGGTCGCCTGAGGCCAAAGGCAAAGAGCTAACCAGCATCTACGACTTCTTTATTGGACGGAGGGAGGGGGCGGTAGTTCTGGAGCGGCTCTTAGGTTTTGATGCGTTTTCGCTTCATTTCTTGAATAGTTACATTTAATGTGGCTGGATTTGTTCGCAAATCTCACTTCTTGCATAGGGCCCTGCTTTGGTCCAATGGTTGCCAGGTCAGGGTTTTGAGGTCAGTAAAAACGCTGTCAACGAGAGACCAGCTGCATATCGCTGGATGGCAGGAACAGCATTGCATCCTCGCGTAGGCAAACTGGTCGACGTGACTTGTCCAAGATGTCTTTGATGGCATTGGATGTTCAGTTGTACAACACATTGGATGCAGATCTTTCAGAACTTTCCAATATGTTGTTCCATTTCCCAAAAGAACGAAGCCATAATACGGCATACGCCACAATCCCCAATGGACTTAAATTGACCCCTTTTTTTGGTGAATCTTGTAACAGTCGTGTAGCTTCCATATGCTTCCATGTTTCCTAACGTTTCACTGCCCTGAGGTGAAGATGGTTGCAGAGACCCGCGTGTCCTGGACGCTGCTGTTGCTCATCACTTTGGGTTGTCGCTGGGCATGGTGCGTTCTCTTCGGTGTTTTTTCTCATTTTTGTTTCACCGTTTTTCATCGTTTAACAGTTGAACACGAATTCATCCTGATGTTGTTTATGTGTGTTTATATACTCAAACTTTGCCAAGACCTGGTTATCCAATGAATTCCTCAAGACAAAACCAAATAGCAAATGGTGACACCACTTCTGGAATACGTCGGTTTCCAATCTTGAGGGGTTGAAACTGTGAAAACTGTTGACATGTCTCCACTGTGTTTCAGGTTTCATTGAGTCTCAGCGACGTTTGGGCAGCACTACCCCGTCACCGGTGGCCTTCATGGTCTTGGCGCATCTTTTGTATGGTAACGCTTGCGCTAAAGGCAGGTGAAGCCTGGAAAGTACGGGAATGTACGGGATGTGTGTTATTTTAAAAGACAAAAATGGTATACGGTATGTGGATGATGTGGATGTATTTCCCATTTACTTGTTGAACATGGTGTGATTCTGTGTGACTTTACATTGCAATCTTTGTTTGCTAGAGGTCAGTAAAGCTTCCATGCCCGAGTTTTGTTTGGGTCGATGTCGGATTAGGGTCTGAGTCAGACCCAGCAGATTCCAGTGCTGCTCATCACAGATGAGCAAACCT